AATCTACCAACATGCTCTGCTCAATGGTGTTTTTTTTTCCTTAACAGGAATTTATTGCTATCTAAAATAAGCTAGCTAAATGGATTTACCAGAGCACAGAGGTTCAGAGAATGAAGTTTAGAACATGACAGATCTGGGTCCACATCATTTCTCTGCAAAATTACTGGTCATGTGGTTGTGGACCGCTACTGGCCCTCTGTAGGCTGATTTCGCATTCACCAAATTGCACTAACAATTATGCCTCAGGGTGTTACTTGGATAAGCCAGATATTTACAGCCAGTCGAGTGCTAATACATACGTGTGATGCCTGTAAGTTGTATTATCCATTCAAATTTTATTCTTTTATACAAGTATTCCTGGTATTAGAAAGATTCAATGAATGACATTTTCTTTTCTAGGACACTATTATTGTGATTGCATTGATTCAATTGAAAAAGTCTTGTTACTAGTTTTATATAAAAATAAAAAAGCCATTATTAATATTTTCAGAACCTGAAACTTTAAAATAGTAAAAACTAGAAGAGTCCATTGACAATTTTAACCTATTCCAAAATCATGTAAAGAATAATAATAGATCTCTGTGCAGCATTTTTATCGAGCCACATTTTTATTATAGTCATATTTTGAACAAGGACTTCTATTACTTTAATTATACTAAGCAAGCTGCATATGATGTATGATACTCTTTCTTAGCCTCACCTATACAGAATTCATTACAAATGAATTTTTAAATGTTCATTCTAATAAACTATAAAAGAACAGACCTCTAGTAGGGTGTCATTTTAGACATAGTAGCGATAATGGGGTCTTCTACCCATGAACTTACTTTTCTATAGGACATTTCCTAGGTTTTCAAAGATAGACCAAGTGGTCATCAACCAGTGTTGTCCTTCCCAAGTTTACTGCAGTAACCAGCCAGGCATGGTGGACCATACCTGTAATGCCAGAGATGTCCAGGAGAACAAGGGAAGAAGATCACAATTTCAACCTAGCAAGACCCTGTCACAGAATTTACAAAAGGGCTCAGGCTGTATATCAGTAGTAGAGCATGCCTAGAGTCAATCTTCTACTCCTGCAACAACAAATGGTCAACCCTATATTGTTGGTAGCTTCCCCAGGGTAGGACCTCTGTTGGGCTAAAGAATAGCCTGTGGTTCACCCATTTAGGTCCAAAACAAACTGAGAAATAGGTAAAAGAATGTTGTTGGAGATACAAACCCTCTCTTTCTCAGGAGGTCAAGTGGCTAGGCATCATAGTTTGGTGAGTCTGACTTTCCTTCCAGTCATAGCTGTCCTGGGATAGGGCATCTGCCCATATGAGAGCAAGAAGGCAAGAGGCCACCAAGTTTTGCACTTGGAGAAACAGTCCATTTGGATAACTTTGTCCCTGTCAAAACTGCATGCAAAAGAACCAAATATGCTTAACAGACCAAGTTCTATTCCCAAATTTAAAAATGACTCTTCTTCCAGACTTCTAAGAGCAGTAGGTGGCAGAGCAGAAGGTGGACTTAAATATGATGTCAAAGTGTATACCCAGACTAAAGGACTTTCCACTGAACTGTACACCTGGGAACTGCAATTCTAGTCCCATCACAAAGACTACACTTTCAGGGATCATTTCTATTACATGTTTCTAGTCCGACCACAGAGGGACTTCCAGGTATCAACCACACTAAGGAATTCCACCTCTAGTGTGCCAGAAGGGTTGGTGTAGGAAATATAGTCTTGCCAGATTAATGCTGGTGAGATAGCTCAGTGGACTAAGCACCTGCTTAGGCAAGTGCAAGGACTGGGGTTTGAGCCCCAACACCATATGCCACACGGGTCCCATCACTGAGTGTGGTGAACCAGCCCCAAGGCCAGACATAGTGGCACATGCCTATAATTCCAGCACTGGAAAGGCTGAAAACAGGAGGATCACTAGGAGTCTGAGCTGCATAGTGAGACCCTGTACCAAATACATTAAAAACAAAAAAAAAGTTTTGCCAGATTAAGGCTGGTTCAATAAAACCAGTCATCATTCAAGCTTTGTGAGTTATAATCACATGATTGTATAAATTCATTAATACTGTTCAAGCCCCTTTAAATAGTATAAAATTGAGCACACCTATTGAATCACAAGCAAAGTTGTCTTTCCAGAAACACAAGTGTGGCACTCTGCTACAAAGTGTGATAACATCTACTTTTTACAAATTTAACACAATAGAAACGAGGAGTGGTCACAAATATTTATTGATTGTTTTACTACCCACCATTTACGTTTTTGCCTTATCTCAGTGGGTGGTATTACCTAAGGGTCCAATCCAAAGACTGGGTGTTTTTCTGATTTCCTTCCTTTGCCTCTCCTTTCATATTTAATATATTGCTGGTTTGTTCAGTTCTGAGGCTTTGAATATCTCAAATCTTTCCCCTCATTCCAGCCCCTTTATCATAAATCTTTTGCAGGATATCTCTGAACTCCTTCATAAGCTTCTAAACTTGCCTCCCTACTGCTAACTGTAGCATTTTATTGGTGAGAAAATTGAAGTAGTCTGACTCTGGGCAAAATATTAAATTCACTAATGAGGAAGAGCAATGAGGAACAGAGTCTAAAACTGAGCTCAAGTTTATTGAATTTAAAGATCAGCTTTTAAACTCTCATATTTGTCAGTCCTACACCAGTATCTCTCTCACTAATGCTACTACCTCCAATTCTAACAATAGCTTTTCAGCTAATTCAGGCCAATGACTTATACAACTCATTACAGAATGATTTTTAAACAGCAACTTAGTGATAATTTTAAGACACTTTGTTTTCAAAGTAAAATGCTTACAGCGATGTAAGTTGCCCGATTCTATCTACAAGTAGGGTAAAAATAAATAAATTTCAGGTTTACCCTTCTTGACTGCTGGAGCTGACTTCTAATCCTAGGAATGGATAAATGAAATATAATTTGGAAAGTTAGCAATGTAAAGTTTAAAAAATTAAGGGTGGGACTGGGGAGATAATTTGGTGGTCTAAGTGCCTGCGCAAGGACCCAGGTTAGATCCCTAGTATGGCATGCTATGCCGGCCCCAAAACTGGGCATGGAGGTGCAAGCCTGTAATTCCAGCAGTGGGGAGGCTGAACCAGGAGGATGACTATGAGACTGAACTGCATAGTGAGACTCTGTATCGAATTAAAAAAAATTAAGGGCATGAAAATTAATGTGTCCTGATGATACCCACTATCCATTTGTAAAGCTGTGTCCCTTGGCTAGAATTTTAGACATCTTTTGGCCAGAAAGATTGCTATATATCATTAAAGTGTGGTCCCTCAGTTTAAGGTAATAAAGCCAAGGTCCAGAGTACAAGGAACATAATGGGAGATCCATGCAGCTGAACTGAAGTTACAGTCTAGGACTCCTACTTTCCAGTCCAGGGCTTTTCCTCTATATCATCTTTCCTTTGTGTCCCTGTTCAGCAGTAACAACCACATAAAAGAGCAGACAATTCCAAAGTGACACAACAAGAGCAACAATAAAACCACACTCGGGTCTGCTTGATTACATAAAAGCTGATAGTTCTTCCAAATACACTCTCACTGTTCTCTAGGATGATGGCTTTAAGATCACCAAGCTGATGGATAAGAAGTTTCTGGCTGGCATAAGGCTTTTGTAAACCCTTTTTCAACTCAGGTGATCATTTATCTGCAGATAGAAAGTTTAAAAATATTTTTCAAAATGTGAAGAAAAAATCAAAAATAAGATGGATGAGGTGCTGAAGAACAGATAAATGATGTTTTTATATATAGTTTTTATTTATGTATTTGGTTCAGGGTCTTGCTGTGCAGCTCAGACCCATAGCTATCCTCCTGTTTCAGCTTCCCCAGTGCTGGGATTACAGGTATGTGCCACTGCACCAGATTTGGGGGCCTGCACTGCATACAGTACCAGGAGTCAAACCTGGGTCCTTGTGCTTGCTAGGCAAGCACTTAGACTGCTGAGCTATCTCCCAGGCTGATAAATGAGTTCTTAATACTAAAGTTCACATTACTAATTCTCTTAAGTAAGCTTTTATTTTATGAAGTCCAGAAAGATTGTTTTTGTTGTTCTTCCTTTTCATAGCTAAGCTGTCATTTTGGCAAATGACCTTTGCACAACGAAGTCCTTGTCTTAAAGACTCATACTGCGCAGAGTGTCCTCAGACTCCGGAGCTCACACCTCTGTGCTGTCACCCTCATGTGAACCTGTAGGCCTGTTTAAAAGAGTCACAACACTAATTACAGTACCAGATGTGTTTCTGAGCTCAGTGCAAACATGTGTAGTTCTGTAGGCTCAATAACAGACAGAAAAAAAATGCAAGAGTACAAATGCCCATGAAAGCATAAGATTGATATGCAAAGAAGTTTTCTGTGCATTAGGAGGGATGCCAAACTGAACCCCACATGCAAAATCAAAATTTGCTAGTTATAAGAATAAGAGAATACATAGATGAAATGCAATAGCCAGTGAACATAAGCTTTGTGTTTGTTTCTGATTTCCTTCCACAATATCAACTGAAGCTTGGGATAGGAAAATTTATTCTTCCACTATTTGCATCAGGTTCTTCCAAGCCAATTTAGACTGGAATAGTAGTAAAGATGATTATGAATAAAAAGAAAAATGACCAAATTATACATATAAAATCCCTAAGCATCACTACTTAATTAATCAAAAGAAAAATGCAAATATTATAATTAGAATAGTTGGCAATTCATTACAGGAGGGATAAAAGAGAGCCTGGGTTCCAGTTCCATGAAACATTGTTAAATGTCTCATTTACATAAACTTGATCTATTTTCATTAATCATCCTCTATTTTTGTTTAGTTCTCTGGTGATCAGTTCTTCTCAACAGATCCTGTGATTCTTGTGCACAGCACTTTCAGACAAAACTTTTCCTGACTCCCTTCGATTGGCTTGTCCTTGCTAATTCCTTCCTGAAGGGAAGTTTTGGAGCAACTTCTGGTTCTCCTGTAACTTGTGCTTGTCATTCCTGCAGATCCTCCCACCATCACGGAGTCGAAGAGCAACGAAGCCACCACGGGTCGGCAAGCTTCGCTCAAATGTGAGGCCTCAGCAGTGCCTGCTCCTGACTTTGAGTGGTACCGGGATGACACCAGGTGTGTGCTGCCAAACCTGCCATTCACTCCCCTTGAAGGACAGAAATCCAACTACAAAGCCAGCCCAGTTATAAGTCTGCGAAACTAAACAATCCAGATCTTTATTTTTAATATTTGTATCCAGTGCTTTGGGGCTTGTAGCTCTTACACTTAAGTTTAAAAACATTCAGGTTAAATGTGAAAAATGAAGTACATGGGTTTATGCACATTTTCCACCTGCATATGCTTCTTGCCTATAGGAGAAACTCAAGCCCAATGAAATCCATTTATTCCCAATGAGTCTCCAATAGCCACTGGTTCTAATAATAAGGAAAGGATTCTAAAGCTAAAGTTATCGTTAATGTTTCTTTTAACTCTTCTGTTTTTCAACTCTTAGGATAAACAATGCTAATGGCCTTGAGATTAAGAGCACGGAGGGACAGTCCTCCCTGACGGTGACCAACGTCACTGAGGAGCATTATGGCAACTATACCTGTGTGGCTGCCAACAAGCTGGGGGTCACCAATGCCAGTCTAGTCCTTTTCAGTAAGTATGCCACAGCAGCGCCTCGCTTGGCATTAAGTTGATTGCATCTTTCCTGGCACCTGATGGTCACTCCCTCGTATGTTCAAGGTGAACTTGTACAAAAGTGAAAACGTATTCACTGAGATTGAAGCCCAGGATTTCCAATTCCTGTGGAAAGAAGAATCTCGCAGATTGAATAACTCTCATTGTATTTTCTTATTTTTTATTTGTTTTTCTTAGTTTTGTTTTTCCTGGAAGGTTAAACTGAAAAAAAGAAAATATTCAGGGAGTACATATCTCTCTTGTGGTAGCCTTTTTAAGAAGCAGGGGTGATATAAGGGCCTGGAAATGGATGACTGATTGTTAAAAAAATATAAATAGAATGGTTGAGGGAGAAGCACCCGATTTGAATAGATGAGGAGCTAGGAGAAAAGCAGGCTAGAAAAGGAAAATGTATATATACAACACAAAAGAAAAGACAAAAAGAATGATTAAAACATTACATAAAATCTAAAGAATGGGCAAGAAGCACAAGTGCCTGCCCGGAAAGCACAAGGTCCTGAGTTTGATTCCCATCATTAAAAAAAAAAAGAATATAAAGAATGAAAATAAAATTGCAGAACGTTTCCATGTGATAGCAGGAAACATTACTTTTTTGAATTTTTGTTTGTCTTTACAACAGAGATGGAGTAGTGTGAAAGAGAGTATTTCTGAAAATCTGAGAAGATTCTGTAAACTGGCTAAGAAGGGGTCAGTGATTTGAAAGTTACCAGTGTTGGCAAGAGTCCCAGTGCAGGTGTCCATCCTTTCAGCATGTGACAGGATTGTGATGCCCTGGCCCTGCTGGTCAGAGCAATATGAGTATTGAAGTAAAACACCTGCAGAGAAAGAGGCTGAATGCAATCATGGGAAAACAAGAGTGTTTGAGAAGGGGCATGCTTATTAGAATAAGTAAATCAAGCTAAGAAGTTAGCACATACTGACCCAGAAAAGCTTATTTAGACTAAGCGAAAAAGGCCAACAAATATATCACTATTCTGAAATAGCAAACCACTAATAGTTTTTCTTCAAACTTTGAGGAAAAGTTCTATGTACTACAAAAGTGTTTTCAACTTATGTAATTTATTTTAGATGAGTCTAAAGGAAAAAAAGAATTCCCTTGAAATATAGTGCAAAAGCCATGTTAAAATTGCTTTCACTGCCAGTGAAACTTGAAAGCTACCAGTTTTCTTCCAGTAAACTTATTTGGTCCTTTGTCAAAGATAAGGTGACAGTGTGTCTGAGGTTGCCACTGTATCTTCTATTCTGTTCCACTGATCCTCCTGCCATTTCTTTCCAATACCATGCTGATTTTATCATACTAGCTTTGCAGTATAATTTTGAGTCTGGGATTGTGGTGCCCATCCTGCTGACTTGCCTTTTTTGCCCAGAATCACCTTTTCTATTCTAGGTATCTTCTGGTTCCAAATGAATTTTAGGATTTTTTTTTCTTTAGATCTGTGTGGTATTTTGATGGTATTTAGATTGAAACTGCATTAAATCTGTATTACAGCTTTGGGAATCTGGCCATTTTTACTATGTTGGTTCTTCCTATCTAAGAACAAGGAGTATCTTTTCATTTTCTGAAACTCTTCAATCTCCTTTTATAGGGTACTGTAACTTTTACTCTACACATCTTTTATATTTTTGTTAGCTTGATTACAAAGTATTTCATTTCTTCAATGCATTTGTGAAGAGTGTGCTTTCCATAATTTCTCTCTCTGTGAGTTTGTTGCCTGTGTACAGGAAGACTATTGATTTTTGAGTATTGAATTTTTATCCTGCTACACTACTAAGTTAGGATATTAAATCTACAATGTTTTGGAGGAGGTCATGGGATCTTCCATATACTATATTATATCCTCTATAAATAGTGATAATTTAACTTTTCCCTTTCCTATCCCCTTATTTTTTCTCTTGTCTAATTGCTCTGATCAATGTTTACATAACTATTGAATAGGAGTGGCAATAATGGACACACTTCTCTTGCTCCTGATTCTATAGTGAAAGCTTTCCATTTTTTACTATTTAATATTATACTAGCTAGGGATTTCTTTTGGCCATAGATAGCTTTTATAAGATCAAGGTGAAGACCATCTATTCCAATTTTCTGTCGGTTTTTTTAATCATGAATGGGTATTAGACTTTGTCAAATGCTTTTTCTGCACCTATTGAGATAATCTTGTGATTTTTTCCTTGGTTCTGTTAATGTGGTGTATTGAATTTATTGATTTGCATATGCACAGACAGCGTACACATCAGCATTTGGCTTGGAAATGATTTCTCACCTTATGGGAAAACAAAGATGTATTATGTTTACTGAAGAATGATATATGAAAGGTCATTAGGCTTTGAGATAAAAAGCAACTACCGAAATTGTGGAAAATGAGTGAATCAATGATTCAGTTTCATAGACTCAAAGCTAAGGGTGAGCTCTGATTATTTTGTAACAAGAATGCTAATCCCCCACCCAGCCTCCTATTGTCCTTAGATTTGGGGGATGCCTTGGTATAAGATCTATTGTTGAAACTTTGAAATTGAGGTCCTATGGTATTACAATTCACATGAGGCAGAAAGGGAAGGGGAAAGAGAAAGATGAAATGGAGTGAGAGAAACAAAAAAAAGAAAACAGGAAAGAAGAGAAAAAAAATTACATATGTGAGTGGGCTGGATATTATTTATGTTCAAATTAATGGGATTAATAGGAAGACACAGACACTGGACAAAAGTTGGTGGTGTTTCTCCTCAGAACAAGAATCAGATGGGGCTCTGCAGCCAGCACCTAGCAGTAGGAAGCACTGTGTGGGCAGCGGGGCTCTCTGCTGACCTAGCCAGTCTATAGCAGCTGAGGCAGCTGGTGCACGGCTGCCAGCCAGAGGCTGTGGGAGGGGCAGACCCAGAGCCAGAGCCCTGAAGAGTTCACCATGATTTGCTGGGTTGGCGAGTCAGCACATTTTCAGTCCTGTCCATGCCAGTGACAAGCTGACTTTTTGTAGTGTCAGTGTGTGATCACCTTGTCCTCAGCCGCGTGCACACACTTCTCCAATCTGTTCAAACACTGATCTCCAAAAGGGTTGCTGTAATTAAACGACAGTATCACAAGGCCCTGTATTCATACCAGTTTTTCCTAAGCCAGTGGAAGCCTATCTTTCTCATTTGTCTTGCTCTTCACACATTCAAGCCCTCTGTCAAGATTAGTCTAGACAGTGGTACCTTGGTTCAGGAATTTAATTTGTTCCACAGTTTTAGAAAAGATAAATCTAATGTCTTGTGCAGGAGAGATGGTTGTGGTTGTTTGCATCCAACGTAAAGTTTACAAACAAAAACAAAATTTTGCCAAATGCCTTTGTTTGCAAACCAAACTGTTCTCAAACAAAAGTGTTCATGAACCAAGGTACCACTGTATATTTAAATAAGGTCTTTTAAATAGTTTTCTTTATACCCATGCTGAATGTTACCACATATTTTTTTCTGAATGTGTGAGTCTATTGGCACAAGGCAAGACTGGCAAGGATTCAGCTTCTCAATTTGGTCAAACATGGGAATGTGCACTACATACCTGAAAGCTTGCGTTCTGGCGGTGCAAGATGCAGAGTTCTGTGTTCTGCATCTGTGCCAACAAAGCCATGTTTTACACTGATGGTCAATGAATGACAGGTTTCTCTTGTTCCAGTGTTGATGTTCACTTTGTTTTAATACAATGAATAAAGAGGAATACGAACAGATTTGAATGACATTGTTTCTTAGCTGGTGTGTGCTCACCATGTGCTCAGCTGCAAACCAAATGCTTCATGTATATGAGTTCATTCAGTTGCCATGACAAACCTACTATGTAGTGTTTCTCCCAAATGCAATTTGTGTAATTACTGACTCTTTAAGGCTGAGCTTGAGATCTAAGTTTCAGTAGTCTGTTTCCAGAATTCATTTTTGAGACCAAGACATTATTTATATACGTAAGCAAAAACATTAGAAGATACATCTTGTACTTTGGAAGTTATCTTTTCACCTTGTGAGACTTTGTTGTTGGCCTCGTACTGCTGTATATCTTTACATACAAGAGCACAGTTTCTTTTATTTCCCATTTCCATTGCCATTAGCTCCATCAGCTTAGGTTTGCTAGATTAGTATTACAGTATTATTATTATTACTAATAACCCAGCCTAGTGGTGTAGGATGGAGAGAATTATCCCCCCACATATTAGAGGATGGTCCCACTGATAAGTTAGTTCCCTTGTGCTTAAAAATGTGAGGATTGTGAGGATTAGTGAGGTATTTTGAGGATAGTGAGTACAAAGGAATGAAAATACAAAGAAATCCGTAAGCTGTATCAGTGTGTAGGCGGTATTTTTTCATTTTCTCTGTAATTTTAAAAGATCATTGACTTGTGAACCTATAATTGACTGAATTTTAAACATTACCTAAGTAACAGCACTATAATGAATCTTTATAGCTAGGGCCTCCCTTCTACTTTAGAAAGCATTCTCTATTATTATTTTAGGGCTTTATTTTAAACACACACTACTCTCTGGTGCTGGTTAAAACTTGGCATATTCCTTAGCCAGATTCTTACAGAGGCCACAGAACAAAACAATCTGAAGAGCTATTTGAACACTAACTTTACGTAGTTTGAAAGACTACATGCAAATTTCTATAAGTGCTTTCTGTGGATAGGAAAGGAATCAGTGGGCACTTGGAAATATCTCAACCATAGGTATCAAGTAGGTTGACATTCAGAAACAACATTGAACTTGTATAATAGCATTGGAAAAGAAAATTTTTGAGTTCATAGATGACCTCATTACAGCACCCTACCTTTGACTCCATTTTTGTCATTTAGGTGCCTTTAATTCAAAGTGTCTCCTTGTGAAGTGTAAACGTCCATATAGTTGTTTCTCATGTTGTCTAGCAGAATCAGCTAATAACACTCTGCCCCACATCACCACTATGCATATAGCCCATATGTATATGACTTGCTGAAAGCTGCCATCAATGAGGGCCAAGCATGCAGCTGTGCTCCTACTGCCTCTCAATGTGTGTTGAGCTGTGTGGACCACAAGTGTTCAGAGAGCAAAGAAATGCCTAACTCCAACATGTCATACCTTCACCATTTGAAAATTGAGTTGGAAATTTCCCTTTTCATTTGAAATAGTATTTAGCTCACTTTATATTCTTACAAAAAAAAAAAAAAAACACATAAATCTTGGGCATAGACCATAAAACAACAGCAGAAGAACGGTGGATGACTAAGGATAAAAATCTGAATTGGGGATGCATCTAAGAGGAAACAAGTCAAAGGACTGAACTGAGAGAATGAGACTAGCTAGTGAGCCTATAATGATGATATCAGGGTGGATCCAAGAAGCTGAGGAGGTGAAAAGACAAGGAAAGAAGGGTGGGTGTGATGGCTGGGCTGTGTAAGTGCTTTTCTGGGATTGAGGGCAGAGTGCGTCTACCCAGCTGTGAACAGAGTGATGAGAAGATATTAAGCTGAGTTATTCAAACAGTCCAAATAATAATAGTAATAATAAAAATAAAATACAGTAGAAAGAGTATAATATGGGACAGTAACCTCCAACTGCTGTATCAATGCTGAAAGGAGTTTAGCTATTTATTTTCAAAGCTGGAAGCATAATACCAAATAACCGGCGAAGGTTTAATCCATTTTTCTACTTGACACTTGTGTAACTAAGACACAGTTGTTCACTGGGCTGTTATTGACCTGCTCCATCTTAATGGACTTTGGACGCCTTCACATTTAAGTTGCAACTAGAGAGCTCACACTGCTGGGAGGCTGGGCTTGTTGTGTCCAGCTCCAGTGGAAGCCTGAAGATCAGGTAATTTCTACTCTTTGTAATCTTACATAACAGGAGGCAGGTAGATAAAGACTAAATATGTGAGTATGTTTATCTCTTTATGTTTTTGGCTTCTGTTGATGTTTATTTCTTATTATTCCTTTAAGAAAGAATTTGTATGAAATAGGTAAAGGTATGTGCTAATTATGTTACATTATTGTGTTCAAGAGTAGCAAATTGGGCATTGTTCCCCTCATACACCATTCTACCATATGGCAAGAGCATCAGAGGAAGATTTCAACTTAAAACTAGGTTTTAATTGTGTGTGTGTGTGTGTGTGTGTGTGTGTGTGTGTGTGTGTGTGTAACTTGACAGTCTGAAGTCTTAGCACCTCACTTTATTGAGTTAGTAGCTCAGATATAAGAACATGAGAGACTCACATGCTTAAGACCTAGTGTTCAGAAGAAAAGTACTTCTTATTACCCACTGGGATGATTCACCAAGCAAGCTTGATTAGTTGATCAAATTTCAGACAAAATTGTATTATAACAAGTGTAGGATTAAGGAATAGACTACAAATAAAATTATATCATTTCAGAAAACATTTAAGCTGGGGATTTCTTTTGCATTGACATCATTAATATGGAAGCAAACCTCTGAGAGAAAAGTTGAATTAGTATTTCCCAAAATAAATTTTCCAGCTTCTTGGCTAAGGCTGACACTGGCTGTGGGGCTGAGGGAGACAGAGGAAGTCTGTATCTAGGGTAGTTCCATATGTCTTGAGCTAAACAGGAGAAGTGGGCCAATATACATCACCTGGATTTATTCAATGACACCTACAACATTTGGCTTTCAAAAAAATCTGCAATCTTTAATGACTGTTTCCAGGGAAGGGTAGGATCCAGTAGGGTTACCACAACCTGATGTTCTCTTCTTACTCAAGCCAAATCTTTAATAAAAGGTTTTGTATTTTTAATTTTATTAATACCTCTCATTTTTTAATGTTAACAGGAAGAACAGATACTTTATAGGAAATATGATCCTATAGGCATGGAAATTTCATCTGTTTTATAATTGTTTAAGTAGCTAAACATGAGAAAGATATATATTCAAGCTTTCCATGATGTTTGCTATTTTTTCCCCTTTAGAGCGTGTTTTACCCACAATCCCCCACCCTATTCAAGGTCAGTATGACTTTTATCATCGTAACTTTATTGATGGGTCATTCTCCAACATCTGTAAAGTGAAAAGAGGAAAATACATTCACATGATTCACATACAACATAATTATTTTCCTTAGACATTCAAAAGAGTTCATTCTCTGCCCTCAGTGTTAGATGAGCAGAACAGTTGAGTCATTTGCCCTCCCTTCACATCATTCAAGAGCCCAAAGGATAATGAGAAACTACAGTGGAATTTTTTTTCTTCAATTGTTATTTATCATAGATAATGATGAACTTACATATTTGGGACACAACCATTTAAGTTCTCTAGCTCTGCAGCCCACAAAAATGTAAATTCTCCCACTAACTTCTTTCAGAATTGGAAATTTTTACTATATGAATTTGACACTGCTATTGCTTGTGAAAAACAATTTTGTAGGCTACCAAGTACTAAAGTTAACCAAAGGATTAAGGATACTTACTAAGATACTGTTCCCTTAAACTACTGACCAATTCCTGAGTTTTCTCTATTAAATGTAACTATTTTAGAAAACAAAATTTTAAAAAAGTAGTCATCCTGCTTTCCTTTTTATAAAACTTCTACATCCCCAAATATAAATTTGTCTCCTACACTACATTTAGATGCAAGTTGCAGCCACAACCTTCTAGCTTAAGGCTATTTAAAGGCAAATTGGCAAATAAAATTAAAATAATACAGAAAAATCTGAAATGAAACCAACCTACCATTGAAATTAAATTCCAGAAAAGTGATTTGCAAATAGCACTCAAGGACTTGACAAAAAATGGAAACTAGGCCATGCGGGGCCTACTGTGGAAAAAGTAAATCCAATTAAACAAGATTTTCATACACACTATAAAGCAAATGTGCTCAGAATAAAAGGTAGAAAGTTCTTATTTTATAAGTTTGAAGATGGATCACATTTCATTAACACTTGTCCAGACTAAAACTTAGAACAAAATTGTGTATAGCTATTCAGAGTGTCAATAAGGCAATGTTTTGAATATTTATGCATTCATATATATGCAAACTTATTTTAATTACATTTGAAATGAGTATTGCAAGGCTTTTAGGATCCAGACAGATTAATAAAAGAAGTAATCTTAAATTTTAAGGAAAGTCCAAACTATTATTAGTATAAAGGCTTAGAACTGTTGAATAAAAAAATTCATATAAACATTAGTGCCTCTGATTTTTTTATCCCAATCACTAAAAATGAAGATTTTTAGAAAAGTGACTTTTTAGGGGCCGGGCAGATGGCTCAGTGGAATAAGCGCTTCCCTAGCGAGTGCAAGGGCCTGAATTCAATCCCCGGTTCCACCCAAAAAAGAAAAGTGACTTTTTTTTCAACCTGACACAAAACTAATGTTCACAGAAACTAGATCTTCTTGAATTCCTGATGTGCCACAATTATTTTAAGAAATTTATCTTCTAGTGTTGCGGAGACATTGACATCATTTTATCATATTGCCATCTTGCAGATATCTTGATATAGAAAATACACATATACACATTTGTCTCAGTGGATAATAGTTTCAAAGAGGTCCTGCCCCACCTAAGGTGAGCATCACAAAGACTCTAGGTAGCCTTTTAAGAAGGGCTGCAGCCACAGTCTGTAGCCACAAGGTCAAATCTTCATCTGATCATACATTATGATACGTGTAACATTGAACACAGTAAAGCCAGATGCTGTTCACAAAGGACAGCTATTAACACAGTGAAAAACAACCTGGCCTAGGAATGGAGCATGGGTTCCATTTTGTTGATTTTTTAATATTTTCCACAAACTGAATTGTTGATTGGAGAATGACCTAGTTAGACTTTATGTTGTAGGTAGACTGTAGTTAGCTTTCTTAGATCTGCTAGATTTTAGAGATTATAGTTTACCTTATTACTAATATTTTGGGCTTCTGCTAGTGCAAATTGAAAAGCTGTTCATTAAGACTTGGGACTGCTGATGTGAGAGGCTGCTATAGAAAAACAGCCAAGAATGGCCATGTAGCTCAATGGCAGTGCACTTGCCTAGAGTGCACGAGATGCTGGGTTCAGTCCCCGGTATGCAGAAAAGGGGCAGTCCTGTCTTATATTCCTTGTTCATTACTTTCTAGGGACCTAATCACTTTTCTACAGGAAAAAACTTAATCAAGAGGGCAACCCATGGGAAATGCAGTTTCCTATGGAAAGAATAGTAAACAGTAGAATGCTTAATCCTTTAGAATGTCAATTTCCTACACAAATATCTAGGGAAAGAATGCCTCACTGTGGTCATCGCTATAGCACAAGACTTTCATTTACGTAAATACTGTACATTATTATCATCCATATCGAAACCTAAGCTTTATCCCAAAGAGTTAACATAACCCTAAACAGCTAGTTGATAAAAAGGACCCAATAATTTTTTTTAACGCCTAATTTCCTTAAGGTGTTTTGAAAATGGAAATTCACAAAGAAACTTTTCTGTCCTCCCACAAAAAAAGGAGAAGTTTCTCTCCTGATGACCAGCCTAATGGAAGTGCCTGTTTCCTGTCCGCAGTTTCCTCGGGATTATACTCAGTAGAAGGCTGGAGAATTCGATCCTAAACCCTCTCAAGCAGTGATTAAACAAAAACAAGGCTCGATACGTCAGATGCATTTCCCTTGGGCTTCCATCCTGATATTGCTTGATTTTCTGCAGCAATAATAATAATAACACTGGACTTATACCAAAAGGCAATGCGTGCTGGCTGTGGCCAATTAGAAATTTTCAAATATCCTTTCCCCATGTTTCTCAAATGGAACCAGACAAAATGATAGGTGAACTTCCTGCTTCGCGATCTAAAAGATACATAAAAAAGTAAAATAAGTAGTGTTCCATCCTTGATCCGATAGGTGTCTTATCCCATTAATTTTAATTTAGGCTTATTTATTCTGAAATGAGTCCTGAATTGCATATATTTGCATAAATACTTCTGACTGTATTGCTGCAGAAAATCCACTGGATTGTAAAATGAGGAAAGCGTCAGCTCTTAACGTCTGCAGGAACTCCGCAGACTTTGTTTGGCTCCAGTTACTTCCTGGGGCTTTGAATACTGGGCAACAATAATATTTCTCTCAATCAGCTTATACATAGTCCTTCTTCATGATGGAAAGTACCTAGAGGATTCACACAGAGAAAGACCATTCATTTGGCCCCAGGTGCTGACGCCAACTTTAGAGAACCAAAAGCTCGGAAAGAATGAAAAGGACAAGGACAAGCCAGCATTGTTTTGTGTGTACAGCTCTCAATCAGAAAATTCCCGTGAGCTTGGAGCTCTCTGGGCTCCATCAGCTCATCCTTCTGTGATCACTGACTATACAGAGAAAGAAAAGAAAGACAGAAAAGAAAAATGACAAAATTCTCGAAAGCATCTCGCTTGTTTGCCTCCCATCTGATTATTTATCCCAAGTGAACAGCCTTTCCAATCACTAACCCTGTGTGGCGAGCGGGGCTGGAGAGCGCGGAGATTATCTCGCAGGTTCAGGCACTGCGCTGGGTTTGCGCACAGCTGCTTGCCCTTCAGCCCCTGCTTTTCCATTGATAAAACACATTGCACATGGCTGGGTTTGCATGATTAATACAGCTGTCTAAAGCTTTCTCTCGAAAAACAAAACCTCCCCAAATTAAAGTTATTTCTTTTTTAAAGTCTAACTCACAGACAAGCCAGATTTTATAAATCTGAAGTCATTCTGTTTCCTCCCAAAGGAAGACCAGTGTCCTTGCAGCCAGGCTTGGCATTAAAGCAATCAGAGAAGGCCAAACTTCAAGGCACTAGAAGCAAGACTGGGGAGAATTCCCTAGATATGGCCCCTGCGGTCACAGAACAGGCCCTGTATTTGGATACAATCCTGGAAATCAACGAGAAAATGTCTCCCTTCAGCTCCTTAATATAACTGTAGGGTCAACTTGTCCAACAATGATAACATTAACAATTAATCACAATAAGTAAGGGGCTTTTCATATACCACTAAAACCCTGAACTCTTTTGCACATATTAATTCAATTAATTCCTATAAACCTTAGAAAATAATATGCAATTTTCTGCACAAATTTCAAAGAGTAAAGTGTACCTGTATTTCAATCTCCTACAGTACTACACATGTCCAGGCAGCTATATCATATATATATAAATCTACAGTACATTATAAGTAACCATTATGTATGTATTCATAATATTCCATAGCTATGTATTTGATGAATGTTAAAGTCATAAAATTTATTTTACATATTATGATTCTTATGATGCATAATAGTTACCTTAATATCTATACAATTTTACGGAATTCATTTTCAGAAATGCTCAGACACAGAGAGATGTATGCCATACTCATGTAGAGATTTATATGAAAATATTCATCTTTTCAAAAAACATGAGCAGAGCTATCTGGCATTGGCACATCTAATTTCACACACTTATTCAAGCTGATTTACATATACACCACTATTAATCATAGATAATTACTAGCATTGTTCTCTGTAATTCAGTTTTTCCAACTGTGAAATGGGAAAGAAATTACATTTTTCATGCCCACAAGCTCAAAGTATATTTTAAATGACATACAAAAGAGTTTCAAGCTCCTAGAAAAAAAGCACATTGGAATTAAAATGATCACGTTCACATACACATATTTCCCATAATTTTTAAAAGTATTATATTTAGAGGTATACCTGTGTTGTATTGCAGGGACATTAAGGGGAAGTGATTTCAGTATATCTTCAATATAGTTTGATGTATTATGGATTCTGGGAATGTCTGAAATGTTTCACTTAAGAAGCTTCAAAATGGAAGCATTGTAAAACCAAATAAAAAAGATTTTTCAAAAGGGCATGGTGTCTTACACCTGTGATCCCTTAGCTTGGGAGGCTAAGGGTTGCATTCGTTTAAGTCCAGGCAAGACTACATAATGAGTTTAAGGCCAGCCTGAACTACTTAGTGAGACCCTCCCTCAAAAAAGAAAAAAAAAGATTTTGATTTTTCATTATTTG